GTGCTTTTACGGAAGCTACCATTAAGTCAGACCCTCATTTCCTTGAAACAACGGTGAAAGAGATTATGGTTAATCCAAAACCCAAGCATATCTTTAATGCCTCCGAAACTCAGGCTCTTTTCATCATGCCAAAGCTACCGCTATTTACTCAAACAGTTGGAATGCCTTCTAAAAAATCCCATCATTACTGTGCATCAACATGCAGTTAAATGAATGAATTGATTATAATTTTCTCTGCGCTACCAAATTTCTGCTTCTCATACTGTGTCTCAGGAATGTGTGCTACCGCTGGAAAATGAGCACTAACTGTGTATTCAGGGCATTTAGTGGCAAATTTGAGTGAAATGTTGCTATCTTGATAGGAAAGATTTCTTTGAGCTCTACTAAGCATTTTTGAAAGCAAACTGTGTCAGCAGACTGAAATTACATGCAGAATTACCTAAACTATTCACATATGATAGGCAGTCACATGTTGTAGATGAAGCTTTCAAAATATAGGTGATGAAGCTGAATAATATCAACTTCTGGTCTAAATACCTCCATCATGGCTCAAGGCGTAAAATGCAAACAATTATGGTACACAATAGTGTGAGACTTCAGGTAGCAATCGAGGACATTATTACAACTTTGACTGTACACATGAAGCAGTTTCTGCATTTCATCTATTTTGAAATTGAATATTCAATGTGATAAGGAATGCATTATTCCTGGATCTGGTCCAATACTTTTGTTTACACAGCATAAGCAGAGTAAGTTCATACTTTGCAGGAACTGAGTAGGTTTCTTAGTGTCTTGAGTTTTCCATGCCCTAGAAAACATTAATTACATTAATCAGTTGTTGTTTAACTCAGTCTGTTGGAGGTATACCACTAATTGTTCAGTCATCACATCTGGAAAGCAAACAATGTTAAGTCCTCAGTCACCTGCTCTCTAATTTGATCATTCTCAACTATACTTTTGACTATCTCATAGGATCCTGAAAAATAAGTAATGAAATCTGCATGTGGATTAGAACCCAGTGGATAACACTTCAATTCTAAAAATAAAAACTCAAGGTATTGTAACGATTTGAGTAACTCCAAATTTCTTAGCAAGAATAATTTCTGTACATATGGTGCTCCTTTCTAGGCCATGAATACATATTTCACGATAATGGATAATATTTACTTAATATACACTGAGTGCCAGCTGCTTGACTTAGACCACTTCTCAGCCTTGGAACAACTGGTATTTTAGAACTGATCATTCTGTTACAGGATGTGTATTTTAGTGTATTTAGCAGCATCCTTGGCCTTACCATCCCCATCTACTACCTAGCAGTGACAACCAATGTCTCCAGAAATTGCTAAATGTTCTCTAGCAGCAAAATTGCCCCCCATGTGAGAACTACCGCCTTAGCTATATCAATTTATTTAATCTTGTAAACAACTCTATGAGGTGAATTCTATTCTCCAATGTATAGGTAGTACAGGTATATTAGCCAGCTTTGCATTATTGTAATAAAAAACTTGAAATAATCAATTAAAAAGAAGAAAGTATTATTTTGGCTCACAATCTATGGTCAGCTGGCCCTGTGGCCAGATAGTACATCATGGCAGCAGTTGAAGAAGCTGGTTACCTCATAGCAGTCAGGAAGAAAAGAGAGAGGTCTTGGAGTCCCAAAATCCCCTTCCTGGGCACACACTTAGCAACCTAACTTCCTCCCACTATGACCCTGCTAAAGGTTCCACCAACACTCACCTCTCAATAGTGCCGCAGACTGCCAACCAAGCCTTTAACACATTGGGGGACACTTACTCAAACCACAGTAATGGGTGACAGCACAGAGAGATTAAATAACTTGTCTATGGCCACATGGCCAGCAGTCATATAGCTGCTATTTGATCCTGGTATTGAGAATTGATCCTTCTGTGACTTTAAGGCTTAATGAAATGAAGCTTGGTGGATCAGAATCCCTTCCAGAGCTGTTGAAGAAGAATTGCTCCATTGATGAAGCAATTCATTGATGACCCAGAAATTGCAAAGTTGAAAAGATGAGCGGTTAAAATAAGAGGGCTATACTTGGCTCATAGTAATTGAAAGAAGGTATTTATAAAATGGAAGATCATCTACACATGAATATTCTAAAACCCACAGTTTAGTAACTTTCATCTTTTACTACCTAAATCACTTTTAGACTGAGGTAGCAATATACTGAGTGTAATTTAAGTGCCTCCTCTCGGAACAGATATATCTGGTCCACCAGCCAGCGTAATTCTCATCATTAGATTTCCTCCTGTAATTGTAGATTTGTATCTTCCAATTAGAAAATTCCATTCCTAGATGACCCTTGTTAAAATGCTAATATCCACATTAAGCTCTGTTAGCCTTCATTTAAATAAATTAATCAAATTAGCAAGTCATTTAGCAAGCCATCAGAAAGTAAATTACAAAACAGAGAACTTCTGAAGGCCCAGTTAGGCAGGGAAAATATAGTTACAAGGCACTGTGCAGACGCCTGGGGCTGGCAACATCATGTGAGGTGGCACAGGATAGGAAATGTGCTGGGCAGGGGACAGATGACCAGGAGTGATGAGGAGGAATGGACCACCACTTAGTGGAAACTGCCTCCTTCTTGTCCTTATCCCCAGTTTCCTATTTGATAATCTCTCCTCTACCAACCCAGAATTTCTTCCTTAAATACTGATTGGTCCATGACAGCAACAGACGTGTCTGCATAGCAAAATATGAAAGGCTGAAAACACACATCCCAGGTAGCACTGCTCTTCCTTGAATCAGCTAGTCAAATGGCTTTCTACTTTGATAACATGGATTTCTAGATGCAGAAACCTGTGCCTGAAACTGTGCTACACATGGCTTTTCCCTGGTCCTGGAGTCTCTAAACATCTGTGAAACACAAAACTTCACCATCTTCTGTGGGAAATGAGGCTCAGAGATAGGATGCACTACCTGATAGTTGTGGATGCCACCCTGCAGGCTAGGCAGTCTTCCCTGGCTGTCTTAGGCAGGGAGATAAAAAGAAATTCCATTCCTTTTCTCCCTACTCATTTCCTCTAAATAAAACCGAGCAGACCGGTTTTCTTCAAACCAAGGCAGTGTCAAGGCAATCACTACATAAAAACACATCAAGGAATAAAATGCCACTGAAATTTAAACTAGACTCTGTAATTAAGCACTTTAAATCTGCTCAATTTTCAAGTGTTCAAATACTAACAGAAATCTTTAAAAATATGAATAGGTAAGAAAATCAGAACCTAGGTTCACAACAGATGTTAAGAGAAAAGAATTTTATTGTGGAACTCTTAAAGGTCAATGACTTAAAAAAAAAAAAAGAAAGAAAAAGGAAGAGAAAGAAAATCCTATGATGATAAAAAGCTAGGTTGGGTGATTAATTACAAGAGTGACCAGATACACCTTACAGAGGCATACTGAAGTTACCAAGCATGCTTAGAAATACAAAGTTGGTCTACATTTAGCCAAACTACCTTTTCACTAGGGTGAAAAGATAAGCATATCCAAGCTAGGACTTTAAAAGAAATTATATTTACTATACTTTGCAACTAGGATTTTTTTAAATGGTGGCCTTAGGAAATCTGCTTTGGCAAGCAACTGCACAGGCTCCTGTGGAGAGGAAGTGAAAAGACTGGGCATATAAACAAGGGCTGCTGGCAAGTTCAAAACGCAGGGGATAGTCACAGAGCAAAATGTAGTCCTAAGTAAATGGGTTTCAGGCAATTTCAGTGTTAAGATAACATCATTAAGAGTAGAACAGATTGTGCTCAAACCCTGCTGTTTATAATTAACACGTTGCTTCCAAATACTCCAGGGTCCCTGGTAAACAGTCTTCTGCTCACATCCACCCAGACCAATCAGAATATTTTCATCAGATTCCATGCTGGGCCAGCACCTGTTTGGACAAATCCAATAGAGCCAAAGAACTCCTCTCTCTGGCCAGCTAAGTAGTTGGATGAACACAGCTTGGCTTAGTCATTGTCACAGTGTCCATATGGCTTTGAAGCTTGTTTTCACAAGAAATCATACAAGTATTTTATTATGTCAAAGTTCACCGTCCTAAAACAAAAACAGATAAGATGTTAGCATCCTCACCTCTGGATTGCTCAGCTTTGTATGAAGCACACATAAAATCAATTCACAACTTATGGTTAATAATCCTATTTGCTACTAAATGCACCATGACAGGAATGAAACTAACTTTTTAAAAAATACTACTAGGAATACAATTTCTTTAAAAAATTGAGTTTTTCTTTATTGTCCATAAAGTTTAGTTTCTTTAAAAAAAATGAAGTTGAGCTATTCAATATTCTGTATTTCAATTATACTTACAGAAAGTTTAGATTTCACTGGAAACTATTTGCTTTTTGTCTAATAATCAGAATAAAGTAATTACAAATGCAAAAGTGTTTAAATCTTCTTTGCTTCTGAACATTGTTTATCTTCTACAGCACCTGTTTTATCACTACATAAATGCATAGCTCATCTGTCCTCATTTGGAGTTTTCATTCTTTTCAGTCTTTCAACAGCGGTTGACCTGTGTGTACTGAAACTAAATCTGTATGATCCAAGAATAAGATACAACAAACAGACGATGTAGATGTGTATTTTTGTACTCTGATGGCAGGCAGAATAAAATAGCTGAGAGAAAGAGACATATAATTACTTTCCTTTCTCTAAACTCATTCTTCACTATAAATATTCAGACTTGGAGGTTTATTATTTGAATAAATGGTCAAAATAATTAGATATAATGATCCAGCGATAAGTATAAAATCAAAAGCTTAAGTATTCATTTCTGCAAAAATAATCACCCATGTGAGAACAGCCTTTTAAAGATTCACTAATTGCATGCTCTTATTTATTAAACCATCACCAATTAATGTTTTTGTCTATCATTTTGTAATACACGTTCTAGAAAAGTTTCTAAGCAAATGACTGACATATCAGATATTTTAAAAAACATGGACAGGGAACTACAGATACTGCTTATGAAAACATTTAAAAATAGCTGAGACTCAAGGGCTGTTGTGGAACCTAATATCGACCAATGAATACTTTCATAGTATCACTGCCTCTCTGAAGAATACTAACCCCTTCTGAATGGCATAAAAACACCATCAAAACAATCTTGTTCCCATGAGCAGTGATAAAACTAAAAATAGTTACTTTAAAAGTTCTTGCTTCTTGTATAAAGACAAAGAGTATGATTATTACATCATAATTTTATAATTTTATTTTATGTGTTTTTCTTTTGTTCAATTCTTAAATTCCCAAATTTACTGGCAACAAGGTACCTGTAAAAATGATTAAATGAGCCTGCCACTGGTGGCTCACACCTGTAATCATAGCTACTCAGGAGGCAGAGATCAGGAGGACTGAGGTTTGAGGCCAGCCTGAGCAAACAGTTCATGAGACTCTACCTCAACAAAACCTAACACCAAAAAGGGCTGGTGGAGTGGCTCAAGTGGTAAAGGGCCCACCTAGCAAGAGTGACACTGAGTTCAAACCCCAAAATCAAAAAGTAACAAAAACCATCATGACACTGGTGGAAAAGATCTTTCTAGAAAGGAAATAAATATGGAAGGCTATTTTTAATCATTGACTAAAAAAGTCAAGTGGAATTTGTAGATCTCCCAGGCACGTTTCCCTTCAATGACTTTAGATCTAAAGATTATAATCATAAAGGAACAAGAAAAAATGGATTTAATGTTGCTTATTTATTTATTTATTTTTGGTTTGTTTGTTTACTTTGGGTGAAAACAGAAAGTTCAGAGGAAGCCAAAATGAAAACAACTTAAATTCTAACACTAGGAGAACCCCTAAATTATCAGATTTTACTCAGTGGAGTATTATATAGCCATGCAAAATGATCAATACGATGATAATACTCACAATATTAAGGGCGAAAAGGAGAACAATAATCCCAACTATGTTGCGCTACCTATGGAAAACTGTTTGTCTAATAGAGTAGGCACTACAAGAAGACATAAACAAATGACCGGTTTGTGGTAAGACACCTTTATTTTTAAGCACAGTTTGTGCAGTAAGATTTTTTTAATAGACAAAGTGATGTGACTTCCAAACCTTAAGCAACTTCCAAGTACTTGTTTATAAAAGCTTCACTACATTCTATTTCTCAGCTTTGTCAATGAAAATTCCTGAGGCAAACTGAATCATACAGTGAGACTTTTAGACTTAAAAAATCCTAAATGGCTCAGGAACTGAATATGTAAGATCATTACTTTAAGAAACATTTACTGCCCAAGATGTCCAAGTACTTTTCTCTATCATTCCTCCAGCCCTGCATATAGATGGGTAACTGCCAAAACATTCTTCTAGAATAAGTCAGACTATGACAGAATAACCACAAGGGCAACAGCAAAAATGATGTTCCAAAAGCAACTTTGTGTTTTAAAGGACATATAACCCACTTTACTACTACTTTTTCTTTACATCTACTTTTTCTGACAAACAGACGACTCAAACACAATTTTAAGATTTTGGATAACTTACTCAGTACAGGAGATTCTACTGGAACACAAATCAATTATTAACTAAAGTAAGCAGTGAAAGAAACAAGATATTTCCTTTTACTTTGTGAGCAGTTTGAGTTCTTTTTAAAATTTATTTCTTCTGCCAACTCGCTATCACAGGACTTCAAGTTGCAACCTTAAGGTATTTTGTACTCTTTCCATTGACTATGGAAGGAAAGCAACTGTAAGCTTATGACTTCCATTTGCATTAAGAATATTCCAAGGACAATATTTGAGCTGCTTGGTCATCTCTCTCCTCCATACTCTACCTCCATATTCTGTCTCCTTTCTGGAACCAGCTTCTTACTGCTTTTCTGTCAATCTCGCCACCATTCCCTGGTCAACAAAGCTATCTATGTTCTCTATGTCTTCAATGAAGGTTCTTTTTCCCATTCTGAACCTGAGACTTGGCTCCCCTGAAGGACAGCTTTCTCCTCAACTCTTTCCAGGACAGCTCCACTCTCTACTGTACCCAGATAATTCTGTCAGTTGGGGTTGGTATCCTTGTGCAAAAACTCTGCCCCTAAGACGCAGACCACTGCATTACTCTACCCACCTGTCACTGTCTCTTAATCACTGGATAATGTAGCAACGGGTTCCACTTTTCTTTCTGTCCGAAGACCTGCACCAGCTGAGCAGCTTCATGCACATCTTTATCACCAAAGATCTCTTCTCCTTTCATTTTTATACTCAAATGCTCTACCTCTAAAAACTTAACTTCAGACATTTTTACCTTCTGATTTCCAATCTGTTCCATCTAAGGTATGTGGAACACCTGGGGACAGTTTCTAAAGCCTTTCACATCTCCTGACCTATATGTACTGAGCATTTCTGTGCCAGGCACTGAACTGCTAGCTCCTGACTGGTTTTACTTCCTTCCTATCCAGCTTACACTCCATGCTTCATCATGTCAACTGCATACTTGCCACCATTCACTGAACTCACCTGGCAAAACCCCAGTACTATGAGATTTCAATTATAATTCTTTGCTGTCCTAGTACCTAGCATATGGAATGCTGCTGGAAGAGATCACAAGTCTCACAGATTGGTGGCACTGTAAATTCAAGGTCAAAAACATCGACCCTCTCAGCAAGTTGCTTTCCTTGTCATCATTTTCTTCCATTCCCCACAGCAGCTATTTCAAACATTCCATATTTCTTGCAAAGTGCTACTACTTCTGCATCTAGTCACAATTTTGCCTCCCCTTTCACAGGGAAAATAGAGACCATCAGATCAGAACCCCCTCAACTTTTTGTTACCAAACCTTCTGACTCAGTTCTAGTTGAAACAAACTTCTTCTCTTATTATAATGCAAGAGAATTCCCCTATATCATCCAGGGATCTTTCAACTCACATTCTAAATCCCATGCTTGGATAAAATTTCAAGGATTTTGCACTCTAAATTAATCTCTTTCTGTTTTGTATCCTTAACTTTCCTTCTGCATGGTTTTCCCTACCAGCATTTAAATATGTTCAAATCTTTGAAAAATAAACAAAATCCTATTAACATAGGCTCATGAGGTTAGGATGAAGCTATGTTATATGTGGTGCTTTATCTCTCTAAAGCTTAACACAGTGTTTTGTTTACCACGGCAACACAATGAATGTTAAGTGAATAAATGAACAAAAAGCATTATGAGTGCCTGCTGCATCTACTTTCTGATAACTCTATTGAAGTACACTAGGTCTGACTTCTGCCCCATCATTCCACTAAAAGTGCTCTGGCTAAAGTTAACAAACGACTGCTTTATCATTACATCAGAGGACATGGCTCAATTTCCTAGCAGCAGTTGACTTTTGACCATTACTCTCTTCCCTTAGGTTTTCCTCTTTATACAACTTTGTATATAAGTACTTTAACCACTTAAGCACATATATTTTTATCATTCAAAAGTAGGGTTTTCAATACCTGCATTAGTTTTTTTCACAATATGTAATAAATTATTGGTCAATTCCTTTATTTTAGACATTTAGGGTTGTGTCCTGTGACCTAGTCATTCATCCTGTCACAGACGTCTAGAAGAAGGCCTATCTGCCTCTTCTTTGATAACTTCTTTGGAACTTCTTCTCTTTGGAGTATTCCCTTCTTCTTGCTATATCTCCCCATCCTCCAAATCAAGCCCACATGGTTTCCTTTCATCTGAAGTTTGACTGCTATAGAAAACTATGCAATATTTATTTAGCACATAATGAGTTTGAAGGATTGTGCTAGGCTTGAGAATAAGACAGCAATAGACACAAACACAAACTGTGCTTTGGGTTTCATGGACTTACATTCCAGAAAGAAAGATGAATTTAATTATCAAAGTGATATCACAAAACAAAGAAACTGGAACCTTCCTAATTATATGTGGGGCAGGGGAGGTGATGATAGCCATAGTATGCTTGAGAAGGCTTCTTTTTTTTTTTAATTTTTATTTTATTCATATGTGCATACAGTGTTTGGGTCATTTCTCCCATCTTTTCCCACTCCCTCCCTTACCCCCTCCCTCTCCCTCTCCTCCCCACCCTCTCCCTTACCCCCCAGCCCCTTCCTTCCCTCACCTACTCCCTACTCCCTTGCTACCCAGCAGAAACTATTTTGCCCTTATCTCTAATTTTGTTGGAGAGAGAGTATAAGCAATAATAGGAAGGAATAAGGGTTTTTGCTGGTTGAGATAAGGATAGCTATACAGGGAGTTGACTCACATTGCTTTCCTGAGCATGTGTGTTACCTTCTAAGTTAATTCTTCTTGAACTAACCTTTTCTCTAGTTCCTGGTTGCCTTCTCCTATTGGCCTCAGTTGCTTTAAAGTATTTGCTTTAGTTTTTGAGAAGACTTCTTTGTTGTGTGGTACTGAGGATTGAACTCAGGGCCTGGTGCTCTACCACTTATGCCACGCCTCCACAGCACACTACCACACCCAGCTTTTTATTGGTAGAGGTAGGGTCTTGCTGCTTTTGCTCAGGCTGGCCTCAAATTTTGGTCCTCCTAATTTCTGCCTCCCAAGCACCTAGGATTATAGGTGGGAGCCACCATGCCCTGCTTTGAGAAGGCTTCCTTAGGAAACAGACATATAAACTGAAATTTAAAGGTTATGTAGCAGTTAGATAAATAATGGAGATGAGAAATGCTGCCTATGCAAGAATAGGAAGCAAATGGTGAATATAAAAAACTGAAAAAAGGCAGAGTGGTTAAAGTGCAAATATTGAGAGGAGAAGGTGTGTAGTTGTGGTTGGGGATAAGGGGAGGGGAACATCATTTGGGTCTTGTGGGCCCAAGGGCCCAACAGTTATGAGAAAATACAAAAGATTTTAAATAGGAGAAGGACAGTCAATTTTTGTAAGATCATTCTGGTTATACTGTGGACTGTTATAAGGGGATAAAAGTGGATAGAAGATCAATTAGGAGGCCACTAAAAAAGGAACAGTAGTACAAAATGGTAACAAGTGAATGAATCTGTCATATGAAGGAGGATCTGGTAGACTCAACAGGATTTGTGGCTGGACGAGAATGTGGGAAAGAGAAATAACAAGATAGCTCACAAGTTTCAGGTCTGTGCAAGTGGCAGGTGGCAATGCTAATCACTGAAACGGAACACTAGAAGAAAGCTAATTTTTCCCTTTTTCTGTTGGTGGGTGGAAGCAGAGGGGAGTTTAGTTTTGGAAATGTATTTATATAGTTGGGAAATGTCCAATAAAGGTCAAAATAGTATTAATAGTAGGGGAGTTAATAAATGGATGTTTGCTGAAATCATGAATGTAGCTAAAATTGCCTAGGAAAAAGGCATAATATGAGAAAAGAGTCCAGGATCAAGCCTCAAGGAACAGCTTTCTTTAGAGGTCAGATGGACAGGATAAACTGGCAAATGAACCTTAGTAAAAACAGCCAAAGAATAAAGAGGAAAACCAGAATCATGGACTCAAAGAGAAGAGTTTTCAGAAAGAGAGTGGTCAACAGTGTTAGGGGGACACTGAAAGGACAAATAGCCTGAAATGAACACTGGTTCTAGAGAAATGGAGATGGTATTCTGAACACAGAGGGAAGAACCTACCTTAGGTAGAAGGACACCCACCCCAACACACACACACACACACACACACACACACACACACACACACACACACACACGAGAGACACGATGAGCACCAACACTGGTGGCTAAGGGAATTCTCAACTGACGGTTTCAATTTTGTCCTGTTAAACAGATAAGGCTGAACAAAGGATATGTGGTTTGAATAAAGTCAAGAAACTAAACTGTGTGCTTCATTCTTCAATATGTAAGCTGGAATGGCTGGAAGGCTGGTAGAAGATAATCAAAGAAGTTGGAAGCCATAACAAACTGAAGTAGCAATAAAAAGAAAGGCTTCACTGAAATGACCTTCTCTCCAACCTTGAAGGACTAGGATTTGGGAAAATAGCTGCCTCCTCAGATAACTGCAGGGGACGTTGTATCTTCCCCAGGGAAGAACCAGATTTTAGTTAAGGCAACAAGAAGAAAATGAGGAGAAGATAAAAGGGAGTGGGAGAGAGGGAAAGAAGCCAGGACAAAAGAAATACAAAATGTTAGGGGATGTGAGGGTGGAAAAGGGCAGATGTGGGAAGAAGGGGCTGCTTATTCTTTGAGTACTGCTCATAGGAGGCAGGAAGAATAAAAACAAATAAGAAAGTAAGTTAACAGAGTTCTGTGGCAAAATTGCAGACCTATGTTTACTGCTCCCTAATAAGGTGGTAAGTGGAAGTACATGTCCCTAGTTGTGGCTTAACATCACTCTGATGCTATGGATTAAATAACACCAAATTCATTTTGGTTCAAGGTATATTTACTGTCAGGGACCCACAAGCCTCTGTCTTGTACATTACTATTTGGAGCACAATTCAACACATTCGGAGTAATAACACCCCTCAACTACATAGGTGTCATTCCAAAGTTGCAATCAACAAAGGCTCTTAGATACAGAGATTCCAGTATCATGGTTTAGAAAAGTAACATTCTTGATTTATGATCATAATGAATGCATTTTAAAAAGTTTCAGTTAAATTTGCTCTTTTAATGATTTGCCTGGTCTTAGAATAAAACACTAATATCCTCATTTCATGTGTTAGGGTTTATAAGCCATGAAAATGTGACAAATTCCTGCATAATAGTGTCACAGAACTTTTGATTCAGAAGAGAATCTAAAATGGACTTCAGAAACTCAAAAAGCCGTTTAATTCACTGGAAGAGATCTACAGATCAAGCACTGTTTTTTAGGTTGAACAAATAATGTCTGACATCTACATACTCTGAATTTTGAAATACACGTAAATACTCTCATGCTTAATTTTAAAAAGGAGTTTACCTATCCAAAAAGGCTGGAATACTCTGTCTTGTAGACTGTCATGTTCAACCTGTCAACCTACTCTGACCTCTTCTACTATGGTACTGATAGATCATACCCAGCTGTGACCATGAGATGATGTCACTTATTCAGACAAATGGCTTGAACACTTTTCATAGCAGTAAGTATACCTCTTTGTGAGGAGACTCATTACATTTTTAGATAGCTCTATTTTGACAAACACACTTTCCTCCCTAAACTTCTAATGCTCTAGAAATGCTCAGATCATCCATTTTTCACAACAGCTTGAGAGTTAACATGTCCTTTCCACAGCTTTTCTCCCATACTTCGTCTTTGGCCTGTGAGGTGATGTGGTTCTCATTCTCCTTTGTGTCCCTTCAGCATGTACCATTTGTTAATGTCCTTTAAAACTCTCAGCATAGCACAGCACACCAGATTTGATGTGCCTATGGCAACACAGTGGAATGAGGACATCCCTTGAACAGGGCATTATATTTCTATCAGGATTTGTAAAGCCTTGTACTCAACCAAAATATTTAGGACTTACGCCAGGTCAGGTCTATGGTTTCAGTATTCCTGAGATTTTTTTTTTCTTTTATTACTCATATGTGCATACAAGGCTTGGGTCATTTCTCCCCCCTGCCCCCACCTCCTCCCTTACCACCCACTCCGCCCCCTCCCTCTCCTCCCCACCCCTTCAATACCCAGCAGAAACTATTTTGCCCTTATTTCTAATTTTGTTGTAGAAAGAGTATAAGCAATAATAGGAAGGAACAAGGATTTTTGCTGGTTGAGATAAGGATAGCTATACAGGGCATTGACTCACATTGATTTCCTGTGCTTGTGTGTTACCTTCTAGGTTAATTCTTTTTGATCTAACCTTTTCTCTAGTTCCTGGTCCCCTCAGTTGCTTTTAAGGTATCTGCTTTAGTTTCTCTGCGTTAAGGGCAACAAATGCTAGCTAACTTTTTAGGTGTCTTACCTATCCTCACCCCTCCCTTGTGTGCTCTCGCTTTTATCATGTGCTCAAAGTCCAATCCATTGTTGTGTTTGCCCTTGATCTAATGTCCACATATGAGGGAGAATATACGATTTTTGGTCTTCTGGGCCAGGCTGACCTCACTCAGAATGACATTCTCTAATTCCATCCATTTACCAGTGAATGATAACATTTCGTTCTTCTTCATGGCTGCATAAAATTCCATTGTGTATAGATACCACATTTTCTTAATCCATTCATCAGTGGTGGGGCATCTTGGCGGTTTCCATAACTTGGCTATTGTGAATAGTGCCGCAATAAACATGGGTGTGCAGGTGCCTCTGGAATAACCTGTGTCACAGTCTTTTGGGTATATCCCCAAGAGTGGTGTTGCTGGATCAAATGGTAGATCAATGTCTAGCTTTTTAAGTAGCCTACAAATTTTTTTCCAGAGTTGTTGTACTAGTTTACATTCCCACCAACAGTGTATGAGGGTTCTGAAATTTTTTTATAGTCAGTGATCTGTTAAATCCCAACTTGCTGCTATGGAAGTATAATTCCAGTATATTAAGATGGTTCAGAATCTTGGTTTTTGCCATCTATCATATCAGCTCCTGCTTCTAATTTTATATGACTAGTAAATTTGATGAGAGGATTCATTCTACAGTGGAGAATATTCATTCTTGGCCTTAAATGATCATTTCTTGTTTAAATAACTAATGATATTGTATTAGAAGTAACATTTTTATATTTAACGTATCATTCATATAATCTAACACACTTTACATTAAATGATTATTCTACTCTTACCTTGCAATAGCTCTGATGAAGTCTAATGAAACTGTGCATTTATATTTTGGTCCATCAAGCTGATCCTCATGGCCAACCAGGGTTAATAGCTGAAGGGTCACTAAAGAGGTAATCTAAAAGTGAGAGAATATTTCTATGAGGAATTCTTTTAATGAGATTACATGATACCTTTTTTTGAAACATTTTATAGTACTTATGATAAAGACATAACTGAATCCACAAAAATATCTGCAAAGAATGTGACTACTTTATAACTGGTATACACAAATTTATAGATGTGTTTAAAAACCTCATTTAACAGGGCTAGTTAAGAGTTTAAAAGTTGATGGCATGTTCTCATGTAAATAGCATGTTTTAATGAATGGAAAAACATTAAAAAAACCCTTTAGTTTCCTGTGAAAAACTGTATGAACTTCAACCCTTTCCATTTTCTGTAAGAGTTTAATTTGCTAAAATAGGTTAGTAATAGTCTTTTTGGAAATCATATGCTATTATTAGGCAACACTAGGGTTTGAATTCAAGACCTCTTATTTGCTAGTCAGGTGTTCTCATGCTCAATAGTCAAGACCTTTATTATTCATTCATTCATCATTCATTCATTCATTCAGGTAGGGGCTTGAGCTTTTGCCCAGAGATGGCCTCAGATGGTGATCTCTATCCCTGTAATGTCCTACATAGCTGGGATCACAGGCATGCACCACCGTGCCTGGCTTACCAAGAGGAGACTAACTTTTTGCCCAAGCTGGCCTTGAACTGAGATCTTCCCAACCTCTACCTCCTAAGTAGCTAGGATTGCAGGTATGAACCACCACACCCAGCCCCAAATCCCCTTTAATACTAAAGGCAGTTATACTTTTTCTTTCCTTTTTTAAATTTTTTGGTGGTACTGGCGTTTGAACTCAGGACCTCAGACTTGCTAGGCAGGTGTTCTACTACTTGAGTCACTCTGCCATGTAGTACTTTTTCTTTTAATATAGAATGAAACATAAATTTAGTTTACCAGTGGCATTTCCTTATATTATTTATAACTTCTACTTTTCTGTGACGAATATGCTCACATATTTACTCTTCTACAGTTTTTATAAGAAAACCACAAAGTGTCTTTAGTCTAGTTAATTTACAATTTCAAAAATGTTTTCAGATGTCTTAGTTTTATTATTTTCAGCACATTAGTCAAAACAAATGTCCAAAGGCAAAATGTTGGAAGAGTCTCTTGAAGTCACTTTCAGTTCTACGAGGATTCCATGGATAAATCAATCACATAAACTGTGCAAAGCATACAAGTACATTTCAAGATGTAGCAGGCAAAAGGCACTTCGAAAATAATAAGATGATCACTCAATTTTTGGAGAGGCTAAGAGCTAATGTAGGATAAAGCTAATACACAAAGACTCTAAACCTAAAGAAAATAATTAAATTGGGATTTGATTTTTGGTAGTAAAAATATCATCTCAAGAGTCTTTCATTCCATTGACCTTATCATATGACAATTATTTAAAAACTCAACATACAAATATATAGTTCAGGACAACATGCAATACATAAAGTAGTCTGCAAATGTACTGACACCTTAAAAGTACCTTCCTAGTTTATTAAAATACTGCCAGAGTAAAATTAAAATGAATCAAGTACAAAGATTAATTTATGAGACCAACATGTGGAATCTCAAACCTATTAATTCATAACTATACTAAATGACAACCTTTAGGAAAACATGTATGAAACCTTTGATAATTTTTTTACATGTATAATACAAAAAAATTTCACCTTCTTCTCCATTACTTAACACTTAAATTATTTAATTTTTTATTTCCAATTGCACATCTACAAAAGTCTTGGGGATTTATTCTAAGCATTCAAAGATGACTAGGACTACAGAAAAACTCACTTCCTCCCTCAACTTTAAATGTTCCTGACACTACAATGAACCAAGATCTGCAGGCTAGCATTGATACCTAAGTAGTCTGATACAGTTAGTGAAAGTATCAAACTCCACCTCAGTCTGTATGCACTGGCATGCATAAGAAAGAGGTGGGATTAGTCTTTCCCACCCAGATGATTCTGTGACAGATCTGTCACTCAGAGAACAGAGATATACAAGATTCATTCCTGTTGTTAGGTTCCTAAATGCAGAAAGTAATTTATATGGTCTCTAGTTGCAGCAAAGAAGAATAAATTAGAATGTCTTATACCCAATAAATTAACATCTTAGGAGGATTTAATATTCGCTCCAGAAAAGCTCTCTAAATAATAGTAGTAAAATATACTGTACTTGAGTGTTGTGTCACCTTTTTTTTTAAAGCAATGTCTAATTACAGAAGGCTTCTCATTCATTTGAGCTTTGAATTACTCCAGAACTTATTTTGTAATCAAATACTCACACAGGGCCTAGACAGAAGGTTGGAAAAATGATAAATACAGAATTTCCAGTCCAGACATGATGGCATAGACTCACATTTACTGCTCTCTCCTGCAAAGTACAACTATAAACCCTGGAAATAACATAAAAGGCAACCAAAGAAGGACTAGGAAAGTTGGAAAGATAGTGGGCCACTTATGGCCTACTCAGGCCTGGAGGAACCAACACTGAGGCAGGGAGTCTTAAATTCCTTACCCACCAACAGAAAGTTGAAGCAGGCCCAGTACCTCCCAATGTACAACCCAGCAACCCAAGGCTCTGGGGAAAGCTCATTCCTCCCTAGATTGAAGACAGTACTGCCAAAACAAGAACAATTGGCTAAACTATCATTCACAGGTCAAGTGGAAATAAAGACTTTTTTTTTGGTGGTAATGGGGTTTGAACTCAGGACCTCACACTTGATAGGCAAGCACTCTACCACTTGAGTCACTATCCTAGCCCAAGACATTTTTAAACAAGAGAAAAGTAAAGAATCTGTCATTAACAGACCTACCTTTATTTTATTTCTTTTTTGGGGGTGAGGGGAAAAATGGGGTTTGAACTCAAGGCTTCATGCTTGCAAAGAGTCACTTACAAAGCAGGTACTCTTACCACTTGAGCCACACCAACAGCCCACAGACCTACCTTTTAAAAAATGGCTAAGGGAAGTTCTTAAAATAAGATGATAAAAGAAGGAATTGTGAGCATAAGAGGAAACAAAAAAAAGAACAATGGAAAAAGCATATACATAGGTAAATAAAGTATCTCCTCATAAGTGTTCTAAATCACATGTAATTAAAAATTTTAACACTATGTGATACTCAGGGGAAAAATATTTGAAAAGCAGAAAAGTGACAGGACCTACATGGAAATAAGGTTTCCAAACTTCACTCATTACTCAGAAATTTCACTCTCAGGCATTTATCAAAGAGAAGTGTACATTCACACAAAATCCTGTAAATCTATGTTCGGAGTAGCTTTATTCATAGAGGTCAAAAAAACTGGAAAGAAGTCAAATGTCCTTCAATGGTTAATGATTAAATAACCTTGGCACATCCACACTGTGGAATACTACTAAGTAATAAGAAAGAATGAACTATTGATACATCCAAATCATTTGAATGAATCTCAGACTAATTAATTATGCTGAATCCAAAAAGCCAATTCCTACCTGGCACAGTGGTGCATTCCTATAATACCAGCTTGGGAGGCAGAGGCAGGAGGATTTCTAGCTCAAGGCCAGTCCTGTCAAAATTAGCAAGACCCTATCTCAAAAACAAAATACAAACAAAAGGGTATGGTTTAAGTTAGAGTCCTTACCAAGCACATGCAAGGTCCTGGGTTCCATTACAGATAAAGGGCAGGGGGTGGGGACAAAATAAAAGCCAATACCTAAATGCTATATGATTCTGTTTATATAAATTCTTGAAATGACAAAATTATAGAGGTGGAAATTAGCAGTTTGCCAGAGACTGAGGAAGGGAAGAGAGAGAGAGAGAGAGAGAGAGAGAGAGAGAGAGAGAGAGAGAGAGAGAGAGAGAGAGGAGAGGGAGGTGTGGTTATCAATAAATGTGCAAAAGGAGGGATCTTGTGACTGTGACTGTGATGGTAGACATGGAAACCTATAAAATCTCACAGAACCAAAGATGCAGAGCCAGATACAGAAATGAAAGCATTCTGAGCTGGGGACAGAGCTCAGCAGTAGAGCACATGCTTAGCATGTGCACGACCCTGGGTTGGGTTCAATACCCAGCACCAAAATTAAGTAAAACACAATAAAATTGTAAAAACAAAGCAAAACCAAACAACAACAAAAGAAAAAAAGAAAGAAAGAAAGAAAAAAGAAATGCATACATGTAGACCTGAGGATCAGTAGACTGAATTAATGCCAGTTTCCTGGTTCTGGTATTTTACTATAGTTTTGCAAAATGTTACCACTGAGGGAAACTAGTGAAGAACTCACAGGAAGAAAAAGCCCATATTATTTTTTTAACAACTACAGATGAATCTATAATTACCTAAAACAAAGCTTAACTAAAAAAATTAAAATACTAGTAAAGTACTCAAAATACAGTGAGTTTAGAGAAAGACCTCATAAACTTTTACCTTTTATTTCAAAATATTAAGTATCTATGAAGCTACAAAAATCTTCTTGTAAGAATAAAACATATTGGAACCATACTTATCAGGATTTTAAAAATCTTGTGATAAAACACAGCCACAAAGAGAAAAACCAGAGAATGTTATTTTACTATCAATATTCTAGCTGGATAGCTTTTTAAATGTTTATAGGTTTTAGATTTCTTTGGCTTAAAGGCAGATGATTAGTTATGACTTGCAGTTCAGCCTCAGGAAGAATTTATAACCACTGCTTCCATGCTATGAGCCCATAAAGGTTCGCACCAAGTCGACATGAACCTGAGGCTAATGAATCATATTATTTCTTCTATAGCAGAAGAGGATTATAGCAAAACTTACAGGTTTAATATACTAAATTCCAACCCGAGTGTTTTATTTTCCTAAATCTTTACTTTTTATTTCTATTCTTTAAAATGATGAAAGTTCAATTTTTGTTTGGTGGCTATAAAAATCGATTGCATTTTAAATTTATTAAAAAGTAAAAATTTCTAATGCAAAAATAATCACAAAATAAAATTCTGAGCTAGCCCATCAGAACTGGAAACTTTGGAAATCAATGTCTCATTTAATGGATGA